TTTAATACGTCCATGTTGTATAGCTTCTTTAAGATTAGGATCAATTTCTAAAATATTATTTGCAACTAATTCTAATATTCCAGGACGTGCTGCTAATTTATCATTTAAATTATCAGCTAAACGTGCACGTTTTAATTGACATTGAGTTTTTTGTATAGCTGGTGCTGCTGTTGTATCTGACAATATATTATGTTCAATTAATAATTGACGATCAGGTCGAGATATTATTTTATTTTTTAATATATCTTGTGTCTATGAAAAATATCAAATTTATGAATAATTAAGATGAAAAAAGAAAAGAAAACTCTACTTTTCGCATTTGTAATTGTTTACGTTGTTCATAAAATGGTAATGGTGCTTTCGGTGGTGGCATAATACCAACATCAACAAGTTGTTTAAGTGATCGACGTGTTTGTAATTTACGTTTAAGTGCTATGAGAAATTAAAAAATTTATATATATATATATATAAAAGTTGTTATGAATGATTTATTTTATTTTATTTAACTTACATTCTCGATTTTTTTCAAGATCTTGTGTTAATGACTGTTCATTTATTTGTTGTTTTGGGCTGTCTTCATCTTTAGGTGTCGACATCTCGTCGATTTTCTTTCCAGTATTATTGGTGTTATTATTATTATTATTATGAAATGCCATCACATATAAAATGAAATTTTTAGACTGCCTACTAACAACATTTTCTAAATAAAGAAAATAGAATCAGGTCATTAATGTTTAGTTAGTTTGTATATTTCTGGTCACATTCACTATTGTTGATCAGTGATTAGTGTTCTTTTTACTGTCTACGAAAAACGCATAGATATTAAACAAAGAATAGGATAGAATAGAACAGAACAGAACAGAACAGAACATCTGTCTTTGTCTCGTTTCTTTTGCTTACTTTATGGCTTGTGATGTCTACATATATACATCGGTAGCAAAAAGAATGGTAGCCATAGCCATCACAGTAATAGGCGACGTACATTCCCCTATATTTCCTCTTATGCTCTCAACATATAATGTTTTATGATATTATTTATTCTTATAGAAAAAAAAGATGTCGAATGTCAAGGTCAACAAAAATGAAGAAAGGAAATATGAAAAGTACTGATAAGATTAAATTTCTCATGAATATGAAACGAACAATTGATGATTTTGGTTTCTTTTTTTTAATAGGTTTATTTATCGTTCGATGATATAGTTTTGACATTCTCTATATAGAAAAGAAAAATCAAGAAAGAAACAAGAATTGTCATTGATACTAAAGTTATTTGGTTAAGTGCAACTATATAAATAAATCGGAGCATGAATAAATCAATTGTAACTTTTATTCTCTCATTCTTTCTATCTCATCGTTTGTTTTACATTGTATATATATTTGCCTACTTACTCGACGGTATATATGGTTAAATAATAATATTAATACAATAATGAATCATGACAATTTTTCTTATTGGTTATTTATCAAAATAAATAATCAAAATAGATGGCAGTAAGAATTGATCTATTCAGTCAAACATTTCAAAATTTCAATGAAGTAAATATATAACTATTGTATATACTGATCAAATATTCTCTAATGATTCTTTGTATAATTATAAAAATTGTATTTATTCGTTTGAATAAATTGAAAACAAATTATTATAATCAAAATATTGATCGATTGAAGATATTCGTTAATGAAAATTTCGATAGAAAAACAAAAAAATTGCCTGAAGCTATTCTCTGCATCAATGAATCAAAAAATTGTTCATTGACAGCTTATAACAAAAATTTTATTTGTGATGAATATATTAATCAAACTTTTTCAAGAATATATATCTTCATAAATAGATGTTTCATCCAAATTTTCTTGTTCGGAAAAGGTGAATATTTATTTTTAGAAACGCAATCACGTAGTACACAATAACCACAAACTCTATGAAATTCAATCGGATATTCGAAAGTGCATCAGCCTCTTAGCCCGTAACGCTGAATAAAATACTGATATTTCATCATATTTTAAAAGAGTTTTATATCATTGGAATTAATCGACCAATGAAAGTTTTACAAAAACACTTGTATCTATAGTTTTCATCAAAAAAAAATGCATTTATCGTATCATCAGCTAGAAATGAGAACATCTTTTTTTATGGTTGTTCATCTTTCTTCATTCGAGTATGTATGTTACTACATACATCATTATATAATCTATATGAAGAGCAAACATTAGTAACCAGTTATCCTTGAAGTAAAGATATTTGTATATTATGAAAATGCTGTTCGGAATTGAATATATATATATATATCGTGAATAGAAACTGTAATATTACATAATTATAATGGAAAAAAAACATGCAATCGAATGAATTGAAAAATAATCATCAAAATCAATCACAGAAGCTACAAAAAATAATGCAATACATTGAATTAAAAATACGTATGTTGGATATTTATAAGTATGATCATAACAGACATGCGAAAAATCAAGTTGGCAAACTTTTCTTTTCTTCATATTTCAATATTAAATAAAATAATAATCTAGAAATTTATGTTATCATGAGATCCGAAATCAAGATCAATGATAATATAGAAAAGGATCAATAAATATACAATTTAATTTAGAATTAATAATAAAAAATGTTGTACGTGCACAGACATCAATAATAAGAAAAATAGATTTGAAAGAATTCATCGAAATTTATTATTAGAATTATATTTCATATGTATTTTCAATTATTATGATTGTACTTTTATTCAATTTTGAATAATATTATTAGTTTTTGTTATACTGTTGTTTTTTTTCTTGGTTTGATTAATCAATCGACTTTTAGGTTTTCTTCATTTTTTCATTTTTGTTTTTTTTTAATTATCCTATCTAATTTTCAGATCGGACATGACAAATCTACTCATTCTTGAGCAAACATTAATTTTTTTTTTATTCACGTCATGCTTTTTCTTATTACCTATTTTACACTCATCTTGATAATGGAGAACTATAGTCTTATAATAAAACTATAAAGTTCATTGTTATTTCGAAGTGTTTTAGAATAAATTCTATTCTCTTAATGTAAAATGAATCGAATAGATAGAATACATTCATATACTATTGTTGGATTTCAATGATATACATTACATTTGTTAATGTGAAAAGAAGATCTAAGATGTAATTTAGTATCTTTAAATGAATTCTATAGAATTCATGTTTTCATTTTCCTATATTACAATTGAGTTTAATTAGATATTCGATCAATGTTTATATATAAATAAATATTTAAGAAAATAAACGATGTATAAAATTTCAAAAGACTTTTGTTTAAACAAATATTTATTTAAAAAAAAATATATTCATTAGATGAACACCTATCATTAAAAATATATCAGTGTGTTGTTTTGTTTTTTCTTAATCATATAGATTGAATCATAAACTATTATTATGGAAGTTTCTTTCGTACAGTTACAGCCATTGTAGTAGTACAAGTTGGACATACAAGATCATTTGCACGTCCATCACCATTGTCCACAACTATCGTTGGACGATGATATAAAGGAGAACCAGGTTTATGTGCACGAATATTCATAACCGGTGGAGCAGTTATCATACCATCAGGTCCAGTTGGTACAACTGGCAATGTATTTTGTGCTTCTGGATAAACAGTTGGTTTTGTTCTAGCTCGTTTAATTCGAATAGCTGTTACTATATATATTATAATAAAAACCAAACATAAAACAAACATTCCACAAGCAGCACCTAATTGTGCTTTAATTAATGGTATTTTGATATCATTAAAATTTGAAGTCGAATAAAATAAACCTCGTGTAGATCCTGAACTATTACATGTTGATGATGGAAAAAAACATGTTGAAGGTTGTATTAAAAAATAAGCATCAAAACCAATAACACAAGCTGCAAAAAATAATGATATACATTGTGTTGCAAGTGTATATGTCGCACAACCTCGATCACGACAACAACATGCTATAAAACAAAACAAAAATTAATATATGGATGAAAAATAAAAAGAATCTTAATGAAATAATTACATGAAGATGATTGTGAAATTGATGCAACAATAAAAAATAAACCTGCCCAAAGACCAACATAAATTGTAGCAGTAACAATATCGATAAGTATACTACCAATTTCACATCCAATAATAGCAAGAGTAAGAATGAATTGAAAACAAGAAAGTATACCAGAAAGAACTGCTGGATATTTTTGTCTCCATTCTTGTTGTGTTGGATTATTTGGTGGAACTGTTGGCGGTACCGGAGCTGTTGGAGCTACTGCAGCGTTATTAATCATGATACTAAATTTTTTTCTACACTTATTTTACAAATATTTCATATGTAATAAAACTATTGAATCTTATATAGTATTACTCGATTTATTTACTTTAGCTATTCTTTTTTTTCTAATGTATAAATGTTACAAAGGTTTCTTTTTTATTTGTTCTAGTCAACTAAGAATTATTTTTCTTTTTTCTATTTCTTTCTCATATTCATTTTTAAGAAAAAAAAGAAAGAAAAACGGCCACATACACATCTCTTTGAATGTCAACATTGTTATCGAAATGTACTTTTTTTTTTCTTTTCAAACTGAATTATAATTAATAATAATCAAATAGAATATTCTACAATTGATGATGATGATAATGACTTGTTCATTTGAATATTTCCATATTACTCAAACTTTTGATCTACATTATTAATCGATTTTTTCTTTTCTTTTTAACATAGAAAAAAAAATATGCAACTTATTTTGCTCAATCATCTAGACGAACAATGAGAACGGAAGTTTTTTTTTTCTTTATATTAAACTACAAAAATAAATTTTATCTTTCCTTTTAATCTTTCATATCATTATCATCATCAATTTTTCTCACTTCATTTCGATCAATGCAAAAAAAAAAAATTCACATATAGACTGTTCATAAAATTGAATAGTCTGAACACAATGGTCGGTCATTGTTTTGAAATTATATATAATCAGGCAATGAACATTCATTCATTTTTTCCAACATGTTGTTTCGTTCAATCATTTTCGTTTCATTTATTATTTTAATAAATAGCAAAACAATTTCGCCATTGAATATAACTAAGACTATAAAAAAACTAACAACGACAACAACAACTTTTCCAACAGAAACAACTACAGTTTTAAATACAACAACAATGAAATATGAAGAAGAAATGACAACAACAGCCACATTAACAAATTCTATTAAATATAATAAATCTTATGAATTTCAATCAAACTTTAGTCGTAATAATGATTCTGTTTTTGTTTCTATTCATTCAAATGTATCAGATACATTTGTATCGATTAATAATACATTTACTATTAGTAAATATGATAATTATCCATGTGAAATTTTATTTAATGAACATTTAAATAATTTAAATCAAATGTTACAAACAACAATTATTATTAATTTCAATCGATCATTAACACATAATTTAGCTATTCAATTTGGTGATCGTTTAATTGATATTGCAGATCTTTTATCAACAATTCGATTGATGGATAATCATAATAAGACAATAGAAACTGATTATTGATCAATTTTTGTTTTCCTTTTTCTTTTGTTATCATGTAGATAATAAATTGTTTTTTGGAAAAAAAAAGTAAATAACCTTTTTATAATGCTGACATATTATTCCATTCATGCTTGTATATTGTTTTCGAAAAATTTTACGAGTTCGATAAAGTCATGAGAATATTTCCAATATACAACCAAACTTGACATTACTTAACATCTATAATAAATGTACATTTCAAGTATGTGTGATCTCTTATAAGCAACGACTAGTTGTTAACAATTCTGTACTTTCAATACTTAGCAAAGCAATTTTTCTATTAATTTCATTTACATTCAGCTTATTGCATGCGGTATTATATTGGCTGTTTTGTTGAATTTTGATGTTTCCGGCTAAAGAAAAAAAAACACCCAGTATAGTGTTAAACGATATTAATCTTTTTTCCGATATAAATATTGTGCGAAGTCATGAACAGGATTTCCGATTGTTTTTGGGAGTAGGAGGAGCGAAAAATTTGTCAGAAAGTCGATGCTGAGATACGGAAAAAAGTTCTGAGAACTTTTGTAATCGATATATTTTTGCAGTTGTTTAAGTAATTGCAACAAATAAATAGTCATTTGAAAGAGCATTGCAAAATGTACTTATTGTGCAAAAATAAAGGTTCTAGCTCAAGAAGTAAGAGAGTCAATAAAGAAAGCTTGTGACATACGTTTTTTGATTCTCCAAAAATAATGAGTGTGACAGATTAAATGGCTACATTTTACATTTCAATTTTTCATCAATTAATAAGTTGTATTAAAAAAGAAAATATGTCACAAGATGCCGTGTGAAAAGCTCTACAATTTACAAAGAACAATTTATTTGTTAAAATTGTTCAAGTAGTTTCAAAAAAATATCACTAAGAAAATTATTGCGAACTTTTCTTCATATATTATTTTTGCCAAATTTCTTGCAGAGAGTCGATTTCATTTATTCCAAGTTTCTTGCAGAAATAACATCGACTTTCTATGAGAAATTTCACAGAAAGCATTTTTGATTTTATTTCAGCAAATGCAGGAGTTTTCTGTTGAACTGAACTTTAAAAATTTCGCAGCAAGTATTATCAAAAATTATGGCAGAAAGTCTGAAATTTTGAGGGGTAAAGTTCCTCTCTCTTTCTAATCGGGAACCCTGGTCATGAAAATTATTTACATTGATAGAATATTGAAGAATAATTTTTTATGCAGATAAATCATTGAAAAGAAAATAAGACATTTTGAAATGCATTAATAATATATTTTATGCAGAAAAAAAGTTTTATTCTATGAATGAATTTATTCTTAGGTCAACAACAATAAATGAATAAAGATGATATAATAAAATTTTTTTATTAGGGGGAAGATATTCATTTTATTCAATGTTGTGCTTAGTGTACAAGTAGTTTTTGAGGAACATATTTTTCTCCTTGAACTTTTCTCTATCTTTTAAAGGAAAGTGTATCTCATAATAACTGAGGATAGATTGCCAACGATATTTCTCGTAGTGTTTCTTGACGTAGAAAGCTAAAACTTTTCTCATATATATATATTTAATCAAGATCTTTAATTTCCTAAAGTTTCAGCTCTCTAGCTAAAACTGGCGCTGAAACGTATGGATAACATTAACATATACGAATTTCTGTACTACTTTTAGATTTAGTGACAAATTTTATCGTAAATGGTTTGTATTGAACTCAAGTCATTTCAAAACAACATGGAATATTGGTCGCATGGTTTATACCTAGAGCCCATCAGGTTGGTTCTGGATCCAGTCGTGCAGGTCTGAAGTTTTTTTGTTCACCGAGTCCGAACATTTTGGACCCGATGGGCTCTATTCGTAGCATAATTATTTAATGAACATATAGAATCAGTAAATAGTGATGTTAAATTTGTTGATATATGAAGAATTGAAAATGTGTGAGATATACTGAACGGAAAAGTGTTTGATACATCATTATAATTAAAACAAGAAAATGCATGAGAATGTGAGAAATTTTCAAAAGAAAAATGTGCAAAAATGATAGATGAAATAATTAATCAATTACAATTGATCGTAGAAAGAACATGTTCTTACGCATTGAGTTATGTTATACTTTACATTTTTGAAAAATTTGTCTTGTAAAATTTCTTTTCATCAGATATTTATAAATATCACTGATCAAGAAATAAAGATGTTACAAATATCAAATATTAAAGATCTTGGCTAGATATATATGTAAAAATAATTTCAGACTTCTACACCAAGAAAAAGTATGAAAAATGTCGTTGATAATTTATCCTCAACTATTATGTGAAACTCTTTATATAATTAACAGAGCTCTCCATTAGGTGAGTTGGATTTATGAAAGTCGATCCATTATGTACTAAACTTTGATCAGCCAAGCTCATTGTTTCTGCTTCAGAAATCGTTCATGAGATGCTCTCTACCTATTTCAATGATGTTTTTTGTCAATACATACTGTAAAGTATCTATTGAAAAACCATAAAAGGATTTGAGCTTCTATTGAGACTTAATGGAGCTATTATATCTTTATTATCTCTTTTTGTACGAGATCACTATACAACCTAGGGTTATCGAAAAAGTTTTGAAACTATCTGCATTTGAAAATTTCATATATATTAGCTTGTATGAAGAGTTTTAGAGTTTGCTGACATCATATCTCTGAGTTATGAGCTTTTCAAAGTATAATGAATAATAAAAAATTATTTAGAAGAGCTTCTATCGTAGGAATAATAAGTCTACAAATTCAGAAACTTTTCATACAAGCTACTGCATATGAGAACTTCAAATGGAAATAGTTTCAAGACAAAATTAAAAATCTTGGATCCTATAGTGATCTCGTTCAAATAGACATATTAAAAATTTGATAACTCCTTTAAATCTCAATGCGAACTGAAATCGGTAGGAGGTATCTGCTGGGGAGATTTCCTCGTCAGTCAAGCTTATTTCATGCGCCATTGACCTGGATAAAAAATTTTCCTGCAGACAATCTGGCTTGTCACACTGACCAAAATTATTCATCAGCATTATCAACTATCTTGTATTTTTTTAACATAAATTCAATCACAATCTGTTCAAGAAAGAGGAAAACAAGACAACGACATTTTGTTGAATAATAGAAAATTTTTTTCATGTGAACAGATGATTTCGCTGATATTAGCTGTTTGCCGACAAAATGCCTACATCCCAATGGACTACGTAAACTAGTGACACACTTAAACTATTAGAATTTGTCTGATATGTCAACCGCTCCTCTTTGTAATTTACTATTACTCCAACTTCACGTCCGTATTCTTTGTTCTTCTTTCTATACTATCTCGCACTTCATTGTAGATAGTTTAAACCAATGAAAGGACTAAATGAGACTAGTTTTTTTATGAAAACAAGTTTACAGTGATAATATGTGACAACTCCACGAAATTTCGTGCTCTATTCAAAATTCAACCCATAGGCCAAAACTCGTAGCTCCGATGAGTGTTCATCGTAAAATTTGCTCAACTCAATTCATTAAGAATTAATGGTTGAGACTAACCATAAAAATTTTATTTATATTTGTATTCGATCTTATGCTTTAGAAATTTTCATGTAGGCTTAAAATGAACTGATATTGAGTTGTTCTTTAGATCATACACGCACATTAGTTGACATTGAATGGTACGTGAAGTGTGCATCATCTATAGAAAGTATTCGATATTGTTCATAAAAGACAACTCACTTTCCTACATATCTCTAGCGCCTAACATATGAATATTTGCTACATTCATCAAAACTTATCTATTTTTGATATAGAATTCCATTCGGATAGACGTCGCTACAAATCGTTAGAACAATTATTTACATAGTTACGTATTCGTTTATCATTTTTACCAATCGAAAAATGTACTAATTTTAGATTTGCGCAGAACTATTATACAGAGTCACCTGTATTTCAACGATCAATATGTTAAAAGCTGTCCGTATTTTCTATCGACAATCGTCATCAAATCTATTTCGGAGGTAAATGAGTTTGACATAAGCATTCAATTATTTTGTTTTTTTTCTATAAATAAATAGATTTCGTCATACAGAAAATTCATCAAAAAATGATATATCTCGTACAGCAGGTCTTGGACGTGATTCAACATTCCCAATAGTTTATAATTTTCCTGCTCTATCAAAATCACCATCAGGGTTACCACCAGTAAAATATGCTATACCAGAAGCAAATCGATATGAAACAAATGTAACAACACTTGACAATGGTCTTCGAGTTTGTATTTATATTTTTAGTTCGAATAAAATTATTCATTGAAGTTTTTCTTTTTCTTTTAAAAGGTTGCTTCGGAAAAGCTTTTTGGTGATTTTTGTACAATTGGAGGTATTTATGAAATGTTATTTAGTTTATTTTATTTTGAAAATTAATTTTAGTTATTGTTTCTGCGGGACCTCGATTTGAAGGAAAATATCTTAGTGGTGTTTCACATTTTCTTGAAAAATTAGCATTTATGGTAAAAAAAAAAAAGTTAATTTTATTTTTCAATTCGAAAATTTTCTTTTAGTCGACTAATAAATATGAAAGTCGTGAACAAATTGTTGAAACATTACATGAAGTGAATGCTATATGTGATTGTCAAACATCAAGGTAAATAAAACACTTTATTTTGTATTTGAATTGTTAATTTTTATAGAGATATTATAATTTATGCATTATCATGTCGAACAAGTGGCATTGAGCGTGTTGTTGAATTACTTTCTGAAACAATATTTCGCCCGAAATTTTTACCCGAAGAAGTAATTAATATTTTTCTGTTTTTTTTTTTCTTTTAATATTATGAATTTTTTATTAATAGATGGAATCTGCACAAGTGGCTGTTTTCAATGAAATTGATGATTTAAAAAATCGACGATATGATCCAACTCCAATTTTAACTGATATGATACATGCTGTAAATGATTTTTCTTTTAAATTATCAAAATATTTGTTGTTTTTTTTTGTGGTTAATATTAGGCTGGTTATGGAAATAAAACTCTAGGTTTACCAAAATATACACCATTAGATAATATTTCCCGAATAGATACATCAATGTTAAGATCATTTATGAAAGAATTTTATCAACCAGAACGAATGGTACTTGCTGGTGTTGGCATTGATCATCAACAACTTGTTGATTTAGGAAAAAAATATTTTTCAATATCAAAAAATGATAATAAGAATATTGATCAAAAAACTATCGAAGATAATAAAGCTATATGGACTGGTGGTGTTATTATGGTGATAAGATTTTTAGATTTTTAATTCTATTGCAATGATTGAAAAACTAGAACAAAAAAATACTTTCCCTATGCGTGAATTCTGGGTCTACGGCAATTAGTCGGAATGCTGAAAAATAAAATTGGCAAAAAAGAAATTTCTTAACATTATGAAGAAATAATTAACTAGAGAAGTCCTCCTAATTTTGACTTGAAACTTTGTACAGAGATAGAACTTAATGAGAATAGTATATTGTTGAAAGATTCAGATCTTTGAATTTGTGTCTGTCCTGAAATAAGAGCATAAAATCTGCCGATTTATATGAGCAATGTAAAAGACACGCTTTTATCACAGTTGTATCTTAAGATAGGAATAATGACAAGATCTGAAAACATTCACGAGAAACTATTCTCATTCAGACCTCGGTCTCTGTGCAAAGTTTCAAGTTGAAATTTGAAAATCAGTTTTCCTAAGAGAGATCACGACATTCATTTAAAAACTACCATGAACGTACAATATCTCGGCAGAAATTAGCTAAGGACCTGAACTGTTTTCACAGTATTCAAAACTTGTTTGGTTCTACATAACGCATATAGTCTAAATTAGAGTCCTTGGATCCAAAATTTTCAGATCCGGACTTTAGTCTTGACTCATCAGCGATTTATCAATTGAGAGATTTTTCTCGTCAGAGAAGTCTATAAAATAATTAATAATTTATTTCAGGCTAAGAAACATTATATATGAGTATGAATACGAATGTTTAAGTAAACTTTTCTAATTGAGCGTAAAACCTTATAAGAGAATAAATAGAGTAGTTGTTTTAAAAATTTCCCATAATCATATATAATATTGACTTATTTTGGAGTTTCTAATTAGTTGTGGTTTTCATTATTCGACAATGAATATAGTTTTCATTTTTTTTTTCGTAATATTTCGATAAATTCAAAATTGTAAACTAGAATATTTAATAATTTTTTCTTGAATAGGAAGAACGCGATCTTAGTCATTTATCATTTGGTGCTGATCCATTACCAGAAAATGTTCATATAGCACTTGGTTTTGAAGGTAAATTTTTATAAAAAAAAATTTCTTTTTCTTGCTTATTGTTTTCTTTTTCAACAGCTCCATCACATAAAGAAGAACGTGAATTTGTTTCGACTTGTGTATTAAGTCAATTATTAGGTGGTGGTGGTTCATTTAGTGCTGGTGGTCCAGGTAAAGGACTTTATTCACGTTTTTATTTAAATGTTCTCAACAGGTAATTTTCATTTACATAAATAAACACACACAAAAGACAAATCTTCATATTCAATCTAGACATGAACAAATCAAAACTGCTATATCATATAATAAAGCATTTTCAGATTCTGGATGTTTATATTTTCATTTTGGTGGTGAACCAACATATCTTCGTAATATGGTTGATGTTGCTATACGTGAAATTGGTTTTCTTGTTTCTGAACGACCAGGATCCATAGAACTTGCACGTGCTAAAAAACAATTACAATCAATGCTTTTTATGAATTTAGAACAACGTCCTGTTGTTTTTGAAGATATTGCACGACAAGTTCTTTCTGTTGGCAAACGTCAACAAGCTGATTATTATTTTAATCGTATAGAACGTATTAATATGGATGATATATATGAAATAGCACGACGAATATTTAGTAAACCACTTGCATTAGCTGGTCTTGGTAAAAATATAAATGAAATGCGTTCATATGCTCAAGTATCGGATGTAATACAACGACAATTATCATCTAAAACACGATGGCGTATTTTTGGTTAAATATGAATTGTTTTTTTTCCTAGGCAAATTTGTTTATTCGTTGCTTTTTTTTGTTTTTCATTTATTCAATAACAATAAGAAAAACGAATATGTTAGAGAACTTTTTTCTTTTTTAGATGCCCTATTTATCTGATCGTCAATATGGTGTTCTTTCTCATCGACGGTTATTAGTTAGATTAAAAAATTCTTCATCAATAACACGACGACTTAAATTAGGTCGAACATTAAATGTTCATCGAGGTTGTGTAAATACAATATGTTGGAATGAACATGGTACAACAATATTATCAGGTTCTGATGATCAACATTTAATTGTAACAGATCCTTATACAACAAAAATTTTAACAAGTGTACATAGTGGTCATAGAGAAAATATTTTTTCAGCAAAATTTTTACCTGAAACAAATGATCGTCGTGTTGTTTCATGTTCAGGTGATGGTATTATATTTCATACAAATTTTGATCGACCTAATAATTCACATAGTAATGATGGATGTTTTACTTGTCATGGTGCAGCAACAGCATATGAAGTACGAGTTATTCCACATACACCAAATTTATTTTTTTCATGTTCTGGTAGATATTTTCAATGAATATATATATATATATATATTTATTCAAATAAATTATTAATTTAGATGATTGTACAGTACGATTATATGATTTAAGAACAAAAAGTAATTGTTTAAAAGCTCATTGTAATGATGATATTATTATAAGAAGTAAATGGGGTATTACATCAATTGATATTAATCCAATGAATCCAAATGAAATTGTTTGTGCTTGTTCGGATTCAGTAAGTTTTGTTAAGTAGTAATAAAGTATATACATGGGTATGAAATCGTTTGTCTAGAAAGAGAATTGTTTTTTTGTTCTTCGGCTTTTATCGTGTTAGTTAGATAGGACATTTTCTATGAAGGTCCGATCAGTCATTTCAAGCTTCTGAGCTTATATTTTGCATAACATCTAGATTAGTAAAATCTCTTCTTTTTATTGAAACTTAACTGAGATATGTATGGTCGAGAACGCAGAGGTTTTCTATGTTTTTTTAATAACAATAACTTTGTAAAAGTAGAAGAATAAAGTGAGGAGAACAAGAACTAGAAAACTCTCGAGAACAAAAGATGTGTGTGCATATATTAGGAAGCTGCGGGTCCTTCCAGACTCGGAGCGACCGGATTCAACCTTTTATTTTTGTCAGATCCGATTACACGTTTTTGTGAACCCGGCCGAGTCCAAGTCCACAAAAACGTGGATTCACAGTTCCATAGTATATATATAAGATGACAACAATGGAGAAAATCAGTAACATATATGACAAGGAAGGACATATACATACAAAAGAACAAGAACGAACGATATATTATACTTGGTAGAGAAATCGGAATAAAAATAAGAATCATTTGGAGATTGTACCAGTTTAGATGTCTTCTAATTTGGGACTAGAGAGACCTCTCCCTGTATTGGAAGGCTCCGGATCTTGTCTCGTTTATTTTCGTAATTTTTAATGAGAAGAGTTTTTTTTTTACAAAATCAAAATGATTTCAAGGATCTAGAAGAAGATCTTTAGAGTTTTAATAGCTTAGAAATGATACTCTTCGTTATTTCAGGTGAAAGTCGGCAAACTTTTTCGACTAATATTATTTTCTAATCACTTGTCATCTAACTAGTACGATAAAAATCAATAATAAAACAAATTTTTTCAAAATAATGGTTCAATACCTATGGATTTGTTCAGAAAAAAATCTTCTAATTAAATAGAAAATATTCTATTATATAATCGAGTTAACAATGAATATAGATATATATTCAATAGTTTCAATGAAAAGAGTATTTTCAAATTAAAATCATCAATTTGAAAAACCATACTGCAGTCCCAGAATAGAAAGTTAACTACAAGATAAAATTTCATAAGACATAATAGAAAGTCATGAATTTTTATTCTTGGAAAGGTTAACTTTATATCTTTCATTTTAATGTTTCTAGTCAGTTCGTCTTTATGATCATCGAAAACTTTCTACTCAATTATCATCTGATACATCGATATCTCGTCGATGTGAAGCATCAATAAATGGTCTTATATCTCGTTTTGTATTAATGGATCGTAAAGAAAAACGTCCACCACGTATAACATCTGTTGTTTTTAATCAACATGGCACAGAAATATTAACATCATATTCATCTGAATCTCTCTATTTACTTGATCCAAAACAATCAATAACACAAGAACAAAGTCAAGAACGTCTTACACAACATCGCAATGAAAAACGAACAAAAAGAAATATAAATGATGATAGCAATAATAATAATAATAAATCAACATCAAACGAATCACCAACAACAGAAGAAAAAAAAACATCTCATTTTAAACGATTACGTCTTCGAGGTGATTGGAGTGATACAGGTAAATTCTAATATATTATTCAATCAAGTTTTTTTCTTTATTTACATTTTGTTTTTTCTATCAAAAGGTCCTGATTCTCGTCCATTGCATGAACAAGAATCTGAATCATCATCTACTACTACTACGAATAATAATAATAATAATACTGAACAACAACAGCAATCACCAAATAATGATAATCCAGATGAACAACAACAACAACAAGCAACATCTCGAAGTCGTAATTTACAAAATATATTCATGCAACGAATGAGTGATATTTTAACACAATTAGTTACTCCTAGTGAAACAGAAAACGAAGAAAGAGAATCAACAACAACTCCCAATAATAATGATAATAATTCAACACCAACTATTACTGAAGTAAATACAGAAAGTGAATCTACGTCAACAACAACAACAACAACAACAACTAATCCTATTGTGCAATCACCTCCATCACCTACATCTAATGAAAGTTCAGCAAGTACAACAACAAATACTAATGAATCAGAGAACAGTCGAGATGTTAGTATTTATTTTTATAATTAAAATAATTACTTTTTAGTTTGAATTTCTTTATTTTTAGCGAATTGGATTTTTTGATATTTTATTTGGAAGAGGTCGTCGAACGAATAATCCAGAAGACGATGATGAAGATGATGAAGATGAAGATGATGAAGATGATGATGATGATAGTATGGATGATGAAGATGCACATGTAAGATTTTAAAAGTTTTCTTTTATTTGAATATATATAATTGTTGGTCTTCGGCTTTCTCTTGGTATGTTTTAGGAAGACGATGAAAATTCTCAACCATCATCATCAACGCCACCAACAGCAACAACAGAAAATGCTCCATTATCTGGACGTGCTCGTCGTCCATTAATGGCTTCAAAATGGGATCGTATAATGAAACGTCGTGAAGCTGAACGTCGTCATGAAGAAAATCTTTTAAAAACTGTTCCTAGTTTAGGTATAATTAATTCTTATGATGGTCATCGTAATGCTCGTACAATGATTAAAGAAGCAAATTTTTGGTCGGATTCATACGTTATGTCTGGTTCAGATTGCGGGTAAAGATTTTTTTTATACAAAAAAAAAAAAAACAATTAATTTTTGTTTTAGACATATATTTATTTGGAATAAATTTACAAGTAATCTTGTACGAATAATACAAGCCGATGAACATGTTGTTAATTGTGTACAGCCACATCCACGTGATTATCCAATATTAGCATCAAGTGGAATTGATTAGTAAGATCTTGCGTTTTTTTTTGCAAAGGAAAATATAGTGAGTGTAGACTTTGAGTCGAGATTTTACGGTTCCCTTCCTTCCCGGCGTCTCAGCAATTAGGGTCAGAAACTAATGAGTATATTTTCTCGAAACATAAGCAGACAGAATGAAGATAAAGAACACATGTGAATTCCACATTTTAACTCCAAAGGATCTGCGCTGACAATTTTTTTTAACAATGATTTATCTTGTTTTTCTCTTAGTAATATAAAATTATTTTCACCATTGGCTGAAAAACCAATTGATGATAGTGAACTTATTACACGTACAATAAAACGTAATCATGCAATGATGGAAGAAACATCGAGTACAATAACTGTACCAGCTACATTTATGTTTCGCATGTTAACATCATTTTATCGATTACGACGTCCCGAAGGATTATTTGGATTAGATGATGAAGACGAATCAACAGAGTGACATTTACCCGGTTTTTTTCTTTTCGTATATGTTTTTTTTTTTGCTTTTTTTGTGTGTATATTTTCCTATTTAAGCATCATAAGTACAAAAAATAATAGAGTTAAGACATAAGAATTTGCATGAATTTTGATTAATGGTACCAATAATAAGATTACAAATTTTGTTTGTTGTGTATCTCAGTGTAACATATTCATGATTATTTTTAATAAGTAATTTGCAATATTTTATAGAAAATCTATTAGATATGTCAAATTTAAATCAAAAAAAGATCAGTATAATGAAAAAATCGAAAACATCACTTGTTTTTATAATTATTCTGATAGATCTCATTCTCTCAATGTACAATTCGTCTTCTTCTAATAATCAAGTTCTACCGATAGACTTAAATCACAAGAAAATACTTAAAATCAAGGCATAAAACGTTCAAAACCAGTTCTTTTTGAATAAATGATTTTTTTTAATTTAAAATTAATAAAAAAATCAGCTATTTCTCCCTTGGATCCAATCATTTTCATATGTGTGACAAAGCTTGTACAATTTATTATTATTACTCAATAAGTAAATTTAATATTTGACGAAACACGATCTAAAACAGTAGAATTGTGGATTTCTCTCTCTTCCGAATATTCCGTGACAGATATTTTAATATGGTTGTTTCCTTCTGGCGCACCATGTCATATATACATGCGAAACCAAAGTCTATTACAGGATTGGTTTGAAACTTGACGATATGAAAACAAACATCCACATCTTAAAGCGTAAGCGCTGATTTTGTAGTCTGTCACAGGCAATGCAAGTCGTCTGCTTGTCATATTTTTTCTAATAAAAACCTTCGGACGTAGATGTAAATGAGCAGGAGACCCTTTCCTACATCCCTCTCCATTCTTTCAAACCGATTG